GGCCCCCCCCCCCCCCCCCCCGGGTTCGTTGACAGCGCTGCCCCTGGCTAGCAGGTGTTTGACGATCGGTGTGAGCACGAAGGAGGAAGCGTAGTATAACGGCTTGGGGTGCGTGTGTAAAGGTTATACGTCTTCTCTACACGACTTGGATGTAGGAGGAGGATCTGTATCCAGTATAAGAAGTTTGGAGAGGCTGTGTCTGCGAAGAACGTTGTTGCGAGATCGTAGATGCATTTGTTTTGACATGGATCTAGGTGGGCGCGGGCATGGTCCGCACAGTTGTGCGAGATGTATAGAAACCGGGGCCAGGTTGTTAGGCGAGTGGTCATTTCTTCGAGTGTCAAGAAAGGGCCTCTGCTGAAGGGGGTTAGAAGAAGGTATATCAGGCAAAGAGTGGCAAGTTCGGGAAGGCAGCGCGATTCAGGCATGTAGAAGGTGGGTAGGTTGTTTGCGGCACAAGATGAGAGAAGGTAGTCCCGTACAGAATTATGGGCGAGTATGATGCAGGCACCATTAGTGAACCGCAAATTTCCAGGATGTTTTCGGGATCGCGAAGTTTATCATCTCTGTCTAAAGTGATGATATTAGGTTTGAGGACGCAACCTTCAGCCAGCTCAGAGAGGCTGAGGGGTCGGTTGAGTGAACAAGCCAGAGAAGCGCTTGTCTTGCCAGGGAAATATCACATTCAGAGATGCGGTTCAGAATTCGTTCGTAGGTTTTGTCAAGATTGGGGAAAAGGCCGCGTAGGGCAGACTTCATGACGCCGTCGGTTCTGAGGCGGCTGAGTTGTCGATCTGACATTTCACCCAACGGAACCCGGGAGCGACATTGCTTGTTAGATAAATAGGTGGTGTTTTTGTGCTGCTACAATTATTTTTCCACTTTGTGCATTGACGTACATTCCTCCTGCACCCTGCGAAAGAGTTTCTACCATATGTTCTTGCAAGACCACATTATGCTTCCGTAGTCTTGGCCTTCCCTCCACAGAAACACGAATGTAGTAGTGGATATCCTCACTAGCGTCTTTGCCTTGGGTTGATATTCTTGGTTGATCCTTCAGAAGTCAAATAATGTCAATCTCCCGGCGACTATAGAACCTTGATAGATGTCGTGGGATTTGTGGATAAATCTTTTAGTATCGTAACAAGAGTTTCTCTTTCGTAGTATTCGTCCAATCAATCCACAGCCAACGGTGAAGTTTGGTACGAGAGGCAGAACCTGGCCGGGCACGATTTCCAGTTCTTCCAAGCTTGCAGGAACATCCTTGCCGTCTTTTTCAATATGTCGTGAGAATGCGTCTTGTACGCCCACTGGAAGGCAATGCAGGGTGTGGCAAATTTGAAGAATAATGGTTTCCACCACGGATTCCGGGCGACAGCTGTCATAGCTTCGGAAGTCACAATAGTAGTAAGCCACCACGTTCTTCTCTGAAACTTTAGAGGGGAGGCATTGGTTTAATATAGTGCTCATCAGTACTGTTTTGCCGGACCCTGGAGTTCCATGGATCCACAGGAGGCGGTATTTTCCAGCAAACCACCACTGCAGCTGGCCACTGTTCAGAACCCAGGTCCCTGTCCCCAAAGAGTACTCAGAAGATGCACGATCATGTATGGCCTCGAAGTCAACATTACAAAGCCATAGGTACGTCTTCTTCCGAACTTCGGTGACTCCACGTCATTACCGCTGCTGACGTCCTTCCTCAAGCGCCTGTTGAAGCTCTTGAAGGACAATCTGAGTTTTCTGGGCTTCCAATGTTGCTTCCAGAGCCAGTAGTAAATTGAGTGAGCTCTTGTGCCGGCTTAAAGTCGCCAGAATCTCTGTAGCTTCTGCTTGTTTCAGCGGCCAGAGCAAGCGTTTCATGGCCCGCATTTTCTTTTTCGTTGGCCCTGTCCGTAATGACTGAAGGATATCCTTCAGTTTCCTTAGCGTCCCTTGACATTCTGCGAGTACATTGTGCAATACTTCCTTCTGAGAAGTCGAAAATCTGTCCGCGTCGAGCAGTCCCTGAATGGCCACGAATATGCCGCTCAGGGAGGTAGTTTCTTCAATCAGTTTGCGCAGGTTCTCAGCACAAGCACAGCAGTAGGTATAACATATACTAATAATTTCCCCTGAGAGAAAAATCAATTCTACAATGCTGAGGGGTTTCATTGGGGACAAAACAAGTTCATTCGAACACCTTGAGACCTGTGCTCACGGAGAAAATGTTACCTCAGATTTCATATTTCAAATAACCGGCAGGGTATAGGAAAAGGTAAAAGCATGGCAATGGAAGAATATTTGTCGCAATCAAACGGAGATGTCAAAAATAATGCTCAGGTGGTGTGTGAAGAGTTTGTGTTGTAGTTGTTCCTCGCTGGCGGGGGTAAAAACGTGGCTGCACCTATGGCTCGTATTCATAGTTGTTTAGTTAACTAGTGAGTTAACTAACTAACCGTCAATTGGAATAATTTTGTACTCAAAAAGGGCTAATAGCCCACAGCTTGAGGAAACAAACCAATATATATTTCGTCTCGCAACAAGTATTTCACCCTGCTCTTGTACAAGCAGCAATAATGAGGGGAACGCTGTTAGGGTTCGAGACCATCATGTGATCCGACTGGCCACAGGAATATCATTTCTCCGACTTCTCAAGCTTCGATAATTGAGCTTCAACCGGGACATGTTAGGGAAAATTTATTCATTGACAGGACGAATTGATAGCATCCACAAATAAATTCCCGCTTCTTCGCCGCAAGAGACATAAATGTCCCTTCTGCGTGAAGCTGAAAGATGTCTTGCTAACCAGAAGACATACGCCAACCTCAATGCATTCGTCACTCCGCTGCGCAATGCAGGAACATGGCGAGACCGGGTGTCAGTTGCGGAGACCCGGAGAGAGACAGGTATATGCCTCCTCAATATGTCATCCGATATCTTTAATTTAGTATTGATATCTTCATAGGGACTGTGAAATCGCCGTTAGATGGCAAACTTGTTGCAGTTAAAGATAATATCTGCACCCGCGATATGCCAACCACATGTGCCTCGAGAATCCTTGAAACATATACCAGTCCTTTCAATGCGACCGTAGTAGAATCCCTTGAGAGGGCTGGCGCAATAGTCGCGGGGAAAACAAACCTAGATGAATTTGGCATGGGGTGAGCCAGAGGGATATATCCATTGCGAGATTGGGATTATAATATCCACTAACTGCAGAAAAGGTCACATTCAATGCATTCGCATTTCGGACCAGTGGGCAACGTGGTGGCCGCTGGAAAAGAGCCAATCTCTCCTGGCGGGAGTTCTGGAGGAAGTGCTATCGCAGTTGCAACTGGACAATGTTATGCGTATGTAACACGTTGCCCACTCTCCTATATAATCAACAGCTAACTAATCCGGTTCGTAGCGCACTGGGAACGGACACGGGCGGCTCCGTACGCCTTCCTGCAGCATACACAGGAACAATTGGCTTCAAGCCATCATACGGCCTCATTTCAAGATGGGGTGTGGTGGCCTATGCAAATTCTCTAGACACCGTGGGTGTCCTTGGGTCAAAAATTTCCACTATCCGCAGTGTTTTTAGTATGTCTACAACGGCTAGCCCACCCAGTCGATAAATGCTAACGCCTGTCTCCAGAAATAATAAATCACCCAGATTTTCATGACCCCACCAACCTTCAACCAAGCACCCGCGCCCGCCTCACCTCCGCCATCCACAAAGCTTCAAGCCTACGTTCCTACCCTACCATTCGCATCGGTATCCCAACCGAATATAATATACACGAACTCTCCCCAGCCGTCCGCACAGCCTGGCAGCGAACTATAGCCTACCTCAAAAACCAAGGCCACACAATCCACCCAGTTTCCCTTCCAACCACCAAACAAGCGCTGGCCGCCTACTACGTCCTAGCCCCCGCTGAAGCATCCTCGAACCTAGCCCGGTACGACGGGGTGCGATACGGGACCCGCGACACGAATGCGCCTGATAATGCCGGACCGGGCGGGTATCTGTATGCCAACACGCGCGGAAACGGGTTTGGCAGCGAGGTTAAACGGCGCATTTTGCTCGGGGCATTCTCGCTCAGCGCGGATGCAATTAATAATTATTTCCTACAGGCGCAGAGGGTTCGGAGACTTGTTCAAACTGACTTTGAGAATGTATTTGCGTTTGGGAATCCGCTACTGCCCGCTGTGGGTGGCGGGGTAGGGAAGACGAATGCTCGCAGAAAATATGCCGTTGATGTCCTCGTCGTACCCACTGCGCCGACCTTGCCGCCGACCATCGAGTCGTTGAAGCGTGCGACGCCGGTAGAGACTTACATGAATGATGTCTTCACTGTTCCGGCGAGTTTGGCGGGGCTGCCGGCACTGAGTGTACCAGTTCAGATTCAAGGCTTCAATAATATCAATGACGGGGAGTCAGGAGAGGATGGAGTTGGGGTCAGGTCTGTGGGTATTCAGGTGATCGGGCAGTTTGGGGACGATGAATTTGTGCTAGATATTGGGGAGATATTGGAAGGGATGAACTCAAAGTAGATCTAAGCGTGTACACGCCTTTAGTGGTGCAAGATAGCGAATGGCAGACTGTGTATGATATAAATGGATGGTTGCAGATCGTGTTTACAGAGAGACTTGGATAGATGCTTGGATAAATGTTTAGAAATTTCTAGCGTCACATACGGCATGAGAACGATATAAGGTTGGACGTTTCTTCATTCCAAAGATATGATTCGCGAAACATTACACTCACGAACTCAAAGCACAGACTGGTCTTGTTATATCGACGACCCCTTTTCCGCCGCCATCAACTTCAACATTCTGTATATTTTCCCTCTTTCCTCACCATCCCTCATCATCCTTAACTCAACCACAAATGTAAGACAACTAAGCTTATAAATACGGGTATATATGAATCGTTTTTGCTTAAGCCAATCAGCTTACATCACCATTTCCACATCTTCCGAAGCCGCAGTTTCACCAGCCACAGGCCCGTGCAGCGGAGTACCAATATTGACACTCACACTCGTTCCATCATCCATGAGAACCCCCGCAACACCAGCAGCACCCTCACCTGCACCAATTCCCACATTCACAGCAGCCGCCGCAGCAGCCGTAGCAGCGGGCGCACCACCACCCCATCCCCTAAACGACGCCTCAACCTCATCCACAATATCAGCCACCACATCCTCAACGATCTGTTCATCATACCTCTCTCCAAACCCCTTAATCACCACACCCTGTCTCCCATCTTCCTCTTCAGTTGACTTGGGTGGCCCCACCCACCACGGCCCTTCAAACCTCACCTCCACAGCCCCGCCCCCATGGCAACTAGCAACAGGGAAATATCCAATCATTCCATCGTCTGCATTCTCCCTCTCGCCCACACCCATATTATTGCTAGCCTGCGTAGCTCTCGATGCAGGTGGCAAGAAAGCAAACAGATCCTTAAAAGGTGTTCCCATTTTTACGCCGTTTTTGTAAATCGTGATGTATGAGCCTGGTAGTGTGCGGAGAGAAGGGTCTTCGGCGTTTGTTGGGGAGGGAGCGCCGTAGGTTGGCGTCTCTTTAAGGTTGAAGGCGTAGTCGCGCAGATGCTTGGATGGGAAGATGTGAGATTGTTGATAGAGAAAGTCAGATTTGAGGTGGAATGGGATGCGGTCGCGGATTAGGTTTTGGGCTGGGGGGAGAATCTTGGTGTTTGCGCTGCTGGTCGTGTGTGCAGTGCCATCGCCATCGACGGCCGGGTCGTAGGAACCTTCCACGATTTTTCTATGCAGCCATAGCGGTGGAAGAGTGATGAGCATGCCAATGACGTCCCCCTCATTTATTGCTTCATCCTTTGGAAAGAAATATTCACATCGCATGCGGTTAACTACCTCTCCATTGACATCACGGATACCATAGCCATAACAGTCGACTCCAACATTGACGTCGAGATCTGCCTCACGACGCGCGAAACCAAGCCGGATATTACCCCGTGGCGAGCCGCTAGGTGGCTGCTCTGCTCCCTTTACAATTCCACTAATTACACGTGCTTCGTAGTAATAGGAGCCCTCCCGGGCACAGACATTGGCACGCGCAGAGTGCCAGGGTTCGTTTGTAGTTACAGCCAGGCCATCTTCGGTGAATGATATAGCGACCGGCGAATCTTCAAAGCTGAAACGCGAGTGGTAAGGGGGAACGTCGGTTTGGCGGTACTTTATGTGCGGGAAAGATGGGTCCATTGCGGCGTAGGTGTAGCGGAAACCGTTCCTGTTGCTGAGCCTGCCAAAAAGTAAAATGAATCCATGTCAGTTTTATAGTGGTTCATGGAATTTCAGGGGACCGCTGGACGGCGGACACAATGAATCGTACTTATCAGCAATTTCATAGAACTTCCATGACTGGTTAAGAATAGCCGAGTGCTTTTCACAGGCAAAATTCATCTGGCGGGGTCGTGGGTGTAGAACGTCCGTTGGCCGCGGATCCGCCAGATAAATGGGCATGATCATTTTGAGCTCAGAAGACGGAATTGCAGAGTTGGAGGATGAGGAGGTGGGCTTCTTTTCACGAGGAACCGGTGCAGGTACATCTGCTGTCCCTTCGGTGGTACCTTTGGCCTCGCGCTTTTTGCGACTGTCCCGTTTGTTTCTTTTAGAGCGGCCATTCTGCGCAGACGGATCATTGTTCATATTTGTAAATGAGACCTTGAGGGGATGAGCCGCTTGGTTTGAATCAACGGGGTTGTTGAGGGTGGAGGAAGGATTTGTGATGGGAGATGTAGTAGTCGGGGTGTCATTGGAAGTCTGGGGCAACGAAGAAGACATGGCGATATAGTATTATAGAACGCTAGTTGCCAACGGGGTATATTTTTGGGCAAAATTTTTGTCTGTAAAAATGGATTTGTCTATTAGCAAAATCGCATCTCAACCACCATATCGACAGACAAAAACACAAAAGCCATCTTAGACATGGAGATCTGCCAACAACAAAAATAAAAATAAAAATAAAAACTATAAAAATAAAAAAAAAACACCAACTTGAGGAAGAGACGTTACTCCCGTCAGTGGATTTTCAATCTACAGTGTCTGCAGAGCTAGAGAGGCCCAGGAGAGCAAACTACAAGAAAGCAGTTGCTTCATGGGCAAATATGTTGTACAGGGGTGAGCGGTCCAACCCAATCCGCCTAATGATAAGTCCTAGCCTTCCTATTTACAGAACTAGAATTTCAGATCCAGCCGCAACGCAATACCCTATGCCCAATTCAAGTTGGTATACTGGCAGATCACAGACGTGGGACGAGGCGAAGTGGGACCGCAGTCGATTGACAGTGGATCCAGAGCACCTCAATTACCGCACACACCAAGGTCTACGGAAGGCAGTGACAGATTCAGTTGTCAGACATGTATGGGATTCTATGTCGCAGGAGCTGCACTTCCGTGAAGGATCTGCGCAGGTTCAAGCCGAGTTGCTGTGATGCTGGCTAACTGTCGTACTGCAGCAGTTAGAGAGTGACCAAAAGGAGTGAATGTGTAGACCAAATTTGGAACAGCCAAAATCAACTTGAACCAGACTGGGGATCTCACATGGAGGCTTTTCACACAGCACGAATGCTGGTACTTCTGCTCACCAGCACAGCGTACAAAGCCCTAAACAGTCTTGCCTGCTCAAACTGCCCTTAAGCTCCTCTGACCGCTGGTGTGTGAGAATAGGAAGAGGCACTGCTGCTGGTGGTAGGGGAATGACCCTGTAAATCTGTTGTTTAGGTGTGATTGTGTGAAGTAGAACTTGTACATACACATCATACAATGGGAGGAGACGATGAAGAGCAGCGTCCGACGTCTGGGGAATTGAACGAGGAGACGGCCGAATGCGCTAGTCTCAAATAGGAACAATCAGAGCTGCCCAAGTAGGGCTGAAGCTGGCTGCAGCTCCCGAGGACTGAACAATGAACTAACTCATGTATCATTATTAGGCATGTCAAAGTTCAACAATGACAATGGTATGCCATGATATGCTCGTACCGGGTGAAAAATTTAAAGCTTACTAAATGCAACTAATCAATCACCCGGAAATTTTTTAGAACATTTTCACGTTTGCATCTGTAGACTAACTTGAGAAAACGGGTTCTGGCTTCCCACAAGTAAACACCTTACGAGATAACTAGCGCTAACAAGGAAGAAAAATCTAAATCGATCAGAAATCTCTCCTTCACCAAGATGGCACGACTGGGGACATGTAGTGGAGCCAAGACAAACAATGATTGACTCTCCCTACCACTGCGCTTGAGGGTCAGTGCAGTGAAACTAACACGCAAAATGACAACCCTGGAGGGAGTACCTTCGGCTCTGGCCTTAGGGGGAAGAAAAGTTTACGTGGGAAATTAGCAGAAGCCGCCTGGTGCATTTAAAACACTCTGTCGTGTCATGTCCAAGTTATTATATTCTCCTGGTGGGGACTTGACATTTTGAATTGTCTAGGATATCCTTCCAGGTAACTAGGAGAGCTTTTGAAGTTGGCGGCAAGGAAAGGTCAGCTTGAATATTAAGCAGACCGGTGTTTTCAAACCTGTTTTCAATCAACTAATTGACTTTCTTGATTGAGAGCAGATCAAGCTGAAAAGAAGGATTGGAATATCTTTAAGCGCTGGCTTCGCGGCTAATAACCAATAGCACGTGCCTAAACTCGGCGCTTGGCTGTGCGCTCGGACCACACTTTAACTTCTGTCACGTGATATATCTGTCCACCCACAATTTCCGGCAAAAAAATCTACAAAACTTTAGCAGGACTGATAAGCGATTTGTCTTGACAGCATACGCTTTATCTGTCTGTGGCTTTCTTTTTATGCCTCCGGTATTTCTTTCTGTCTGAATTTGGGGGACCATTCTGTTACAGTTAAACCCGCTTACGAACCCTTTGGACAGACAAACACCGAAATAAAACCAGAGATTAGGGACATCGAAAGATTGGAAGGATTGAACGAGAAACCGCGTAACGGGAATATGCCAAAGGCTAACGGCCCCTTGCGGGCCTCCGCGACAGAACGCAAACATATGCCCCTCGCTGATGACATCCTTTCAACCGGCCACTTGCGCACAAAGTCAGGCAAGCGAAAATCCCGATCAGACGAAAAAGATGGAGACGATTATCTCGACTCAAAGACAACCAAGAAGATCCTGCAAATTGGCCAGGATCTTGCGGAGGAAGATGCTGCAGAATCCCGTGCTACTTTAGCTGCTTCTGGGTTGAAGATAAACACAGCTTTTGATTTTGGGTCCCGATTTGGCCCAGAGGAAGACGAGAGGGAAGATGATGGGGAACAATATGGAGAAGACGAGTGGGCTGATGTCGAAGAAGAAGTTGAAGAAGCGGTATGCATACGAACATGAGAGATATTACATACCCCTGAGTTAAACTCCGTTTATAATTAATTTTCTTGTTTTGTTACGACTTTTGCCTATATTTAGGAAGTTGATCCCAATGACCTTGACACGTTCCATAAATTTGTCCCCCGCGGTGAAGAGGATCCGATATTCAACCCCCGCAATCCGGATGATCAAGAGCAAGGACAAGGCACAAACCTGGCAGATATGATTCTCGAGAAAATAGCAGCGTATGAGGCCCGAAAGGGGGACCAGCCTCAAATTATTGGAGGCGGTGAAATGGAAAACGCTGTTGAGCTCCCTGCAAAAGCCGTAGAGGTCTACCAAAGGTATGTGCAAGTTTCCCCCTCTAGAAACACTGAATAATTCTTAACGAATAGCTTAGGGTCGGCTTCCTCCTCTCCCGCTACAAATCTGGGCCCCTTCCCAAACCATTCAAAATCCTCCCAACCCTACCACAATGGCAAACGCTCCTCGAAATCACCCAACCAGAAAACTGGACCCCAAACGCCATATACGCCGGCACCCGCATCTTCATCTCCTCAAAACCTGCCATCGCCCAAGAATACATAAACACCGTCCTCCTCGACCGCGTCCGCGACGACATCCACGAAACCAAAAAACTACACGTGCACATCTACAACGCCCTGAAAAAGGCCCTGTACAAACCCGCCTGTTTCTTCAAGGGCTTCCTCTTCCCCCTTGTCCAATCGGGAACCTGCACACTGCGCGAAGCCCACATAATTTCCAGTGTCATCACCCGCGTCTCGATACCAGTGTTGCACTCCGCTGCCGCTCTCCTGCGCCTCTGCGACATGGCTGCGGAGAAGACCGCATCCGCCCTCTCCTCTGAAGGCACAGGTGCCCTAAACATGTTCATCCGCGTCTTTCTCGAGAAGAAATACGCACTTCCATATAAAGTCATCGATGCACTCGTGTTTCATTTCCTCCGTTTCCGCGCTACAGATCCTCTCCCTCAGGACGTTAGCGGTGCTGGCGCCGATACAGCTATGACGGGTGCTTCTGCGGCAAAGAATTATAAATTGCCTGTCCTGTGGCATCAGTCGCTACTAGTCTTTGCGCAGCGATATCGGAACGATATCACGGAAGACCAGCGCGAGGCGTTGCTAGATCTGCTGCTGGTGAGGGGCCATAAGGATATTGGTCCGGAGGTGCGGAGGGAGTTGTTGGCTGGGAGGGGGAGGGGGATTGTGTTACCTAAGGGTGAGGGTGGTGAGACACTGGGGAATGGAGGGGATGATACTATGGATGTGGAAATGTGAGATGGAAATATATCATGCATTATTCATATTTTTTTAAATGTCAGATTCTCAGCGATTCATGTTCCAGCATCTCTACTAAAGAGTTATGCTAATGAATTTCCTTTTGACAAAAGCTACATTTCTAGCATACCCTTACCTCCGTCATGGCATTATGTCGATGAAACACGAACCCTACCAACTGCCAGTTTCTGTTTATGACTTTACTTTCAAAAGATAATAAAATTACAATGCTCCATTCTCCCATACCATATTTTTTAACAGACTTCTAGTTCGTATTAACAGATCGTATAAATTGATTCATCATTCCCAGATTCAATATATCATAACTCCAAAATAGCCGGCTTAAGAAACAAGAGATTGGAGACATCAGGAAATAATGGAGAAAAGAACAAAGATGTAAACGGGTTCGTTAACGTATATCGTTAGTAGAGATCCGGAATAGGTGGTCTAAACATGACGGTGATGATGGGGTATATGAAGGAGCGTAACATGGCGGAGAACTGCGAGAAGGATAGCAGGAGGGGTTCAAGGGATGGAGTTTCGCGAAACTCGAACCAGGAGGATCACGTATCGTGTATGTGACCAGTGTGGATAAGGAGGTTCAAATGTGTGAGTCCAAGAATACCTCCAACAGAGAAGCACGGAAATTTTAAAATGCAAAATTTCACGCCCTCAGCGCCCTCAACCGCGCATCCAGCCCATCCTCTTCCTTTTGCTTCCCCGCCCCCTCCCGAACCCCCACCTCGCCCTCCGGGGCTGCATTCGCCTCCAAATGCTCCCGCATATCCACACCGGCTTCATCCGCCAACTTCTGCATCAGCCTGTCAACCTCCTCCTTACCCTCACCGCCCAAACTCTGCTCTTGCACCCCTTGCGACACATCCCTAATGGCACTGCTGGCAATCTTAAAATCTTGACTCCTCTCCAAAAACGAATTCGCGGTAGCCAACACCCGTTCCAGATTTATAGTCCGTGACGCGCCCTCGAGAGCTTTGGAAGCATATGCGAGTGAACGAGCACGTTCCCGCGTGCTGTATGCTGCTTTCAGATCGTTGACGAGCACCTCGGCTTCGGCGGCTTCGGAGCGCAGGGAGACGTAGCGATGGTGCTCGCGCACGGCGGACTGGGAGTGGATTTGCGCGATTTGGAATTCACGATTTTTCATCGCGCGGGACGCTTTGGCTTCTTCTGATAGACGGGTTTTGTTGGCTTTCTCGGCTTCTTTGCGGGAGCGGGAGGCGAGCATCTGGTGACCCGCACATGGGGTTAGTATTGGGTTACTTTTGCAAGGTTTGGAGGTTGCAAGTTAGAATGAAACTCTGAGGAGGGTGAAGGAAAATAAGGGAGGGGAGAGGAACGGTATATGGTGTGTTTGATGAGGTAGGAATAGTCGGACCGATGAACAGGGGATTTGAGGAATGTGGGGTTGGCGGGGGTGGAAGATGGTATCGTACCTTGACCTCCATCAGGGCCTTCATTAGGGGATCTACCGCAGGCATATTGGCGGTGTGGTGTCCTGCTCTTTTTGTATGAATAATGTAGATAACAAGAAGCGGAGAGAAGTACTCGAGGATGTTGAAGATATGAAAGTTCGGCGTAGGCACCACCACCGCTGACGTTTGTTCGCTGAAGGCTGAGAGGGAGGCTTAGATAACATATTTGTCATTCGATTCTAGAGGTTCAAGTATGTTAACTACTCCGTATTCGGACTAGATTGGGAAGTTTAATCTAGCCTCGCGGCGGAACTTCAGATCAGACAAACAACTGAAGGGTTGGTCCACAACATCCAGTTTACAGTCTGAATTTCCAACACAAAAAAAGGGAAAAGAAAAGAAAAGAAAAGGGGGAGAGAAGAAAAAGGAATGAAAATAAATAGGTGTCTGATAAGCCAAAGCAATATTAATATACACCACAGGGAAAACAATATGTACCAGGACCACCAATTAATATATTCACTAAAACAGTATGTATTCACCATTTTTACTACTTTATTGCTTTATTTTTTATACCCAATCTTTCTCTAATTATAGGCAATTTAATAACTTGGTTTTGGTAGATCATGTAGAAATATGTATTTTACATAAGTATCTCTTACGAAATAGAGATAGTAAACTACACAAAAAAGGGATAATTACTCCTCATAAGCTCATTTATGCATGTCTTCGAGTCATCACGCCTCCACAAAGCCGAAGCCTCAAAACTTGCCAAACGATTGAATGTCCAAAAGTGGCCTTCCACCTTTCCATGCGGGCTCTCCCATTAATCGCCATCGGCGTGGGATCTATAATACCAAAGGCCACTCCCTGGTGGGCCTAGCGTCATTGGCGATATGCTGTTGGGCGATTGTTGACAAGACTGTTCTGCTGGGTAATCAGCCCAACCAGAGCTTGATGAAAATTTCTAAGAGGGAACAAGGCTGCATAGGAAATCACTGTTATCGACTTGGCTGGGCCGTAATTGGTATAACTACACCAACGTGTTTCCCGTGCTTTATGAATGGCTATATTAACTTTGATGGTTATTTGGAGGCGCGCGTACGGGAGCACTTCGTTTCAGGCGGTTTGCGGGTCTGGTTTTAACACAAGGGGGGGCCTTCTCCTCCAATCTTCTGCTCATAATACCTGTGCCATGCGTTTCTCCACTAGATAAAATCCATGGCTAAAATTTATGATTTATTCTCAACAAAGGGAACATTCTCTGGTGGTGGATGCCCCAGCTTTTTCATCGGGTCGCACAGCCTTCCCCTAGTACTGGTAAGGCCATTGGTGAGGAAGATTATGAAATGCTTCACCATTGTAATCAAATAGGCTCCGTTTTTGCGCAAATTATGATAGATCCGGGAAAATTTGAAGGCATATTAAAAATAAGCCAAAACAATTTTGATCCTTTTTATTAATTAGATAGCCCAGCAACCTAAAGTAGGCTTCTGGGACTACATTACAAAAGGTAAAAGAAAAGCACAACCTAATATAGGATTTTTTTTAAAAAATAGTAATTTAAAATGAACAAATATACAACGAAGAGAAAATATGAACCAGAGAACTCCATCGCCTCCTGCCTTGCCTCCCTGTCCAACTCCTTGACGTTGAGCGATTTGCTAGAGCGAAAGATTGCTAGATCCCAGTACGATGCACTACGATACAACCGAGTCCTGCTCTCGAGTGTTCTGCGCTACGATAGCGATGACGTGGACGATAGACATGAATAGGTCTTTCCTCGACGCCTCCTCGTTGGATCTGTCAATACAATCAATTGCCCAGATCATGGTTAATAACACCTTCCAATCCTGACAACCGCTGTAGCTCGGCAACACCGCACCAACCGACACCGGCTCACTGGAAGCCAACGACTCACCCCTAGCCACTAGCTGCAATGCCTTGCTCGTCGCATCTCGAAGTGGACGCGCCAAAGCTGGGCTGCACGCAAGAAGCCGGCTGAGAAGCTGGATCCGAAAAACCGGACGTCGCGGAGGAAGAGTGGTCGTCGAGGCTGTCAAGGTTGACAGGGTCGGCGTCGAAATCAACCAGAGAATCAAAGGCAAGTGTTGCTGAATCTCCGCCGGAGAGAACGTCAAAGGAGAGCCTTGTTTCAAGGAGCGAAAGATCAGCGTCATCGGACGGATTACCGTAGAATAGGCGGTGAAAGTCATCGTCAGAAAGAGGTGCTGGATGATTGACAGCAGGGCGACTTGAAAGGCCTGATCGCGAGTCAAAGAGGGGTTGAGAGAGGCTTGGGGATCCTTCAAGGATCCCTCCAACTGACACTGCAGGTCGCACAACATCGCTGCAGGATGTTGTGTCAGGTCGGAGGAATCAGTGAGGTCCAAGGCCTTCAGGCTGGGAGAGTAGGCAGAGAGGGATGGAGTTGGGAATGGGATTTTGTCGAGGGACATTTCGTCACGTTCCTTCTTGAAGAGGATGGGGACAAGAGTGGGTGAATCTGCTCCGGAGACGGACTGAGGGCTGGAGCCTCTCGAAGTGCGGATTTCAGCGGAGAGCTGGGCGACTTGTTGGCTGAGGCGGTTGTTTTCGGCTTCCATCTGGGCGAGTCGACGCAGAAGGAGCTCGTTTTGTTGCTCCATCTGCAACTTTTCGCCTTCAAGTTTCTCGACCTCTAGTCGCTTTCGTTCACGAGAGGTCTGGGCCGCTGCGCGGTTCCTGAGAACGCGTTCGATGCGACGCTGTTCCTTTTCATCTTCCGTCTTTGCCCGTTTTCTACACATCCATGTTAGAAATGGAGCCCGAAAGAATTAGGGGGAAAAAAAAACAATATACGAATTTTTACAAGCCAATATGTACCTTGGTGGGAGATTCGTCTTTGGGGTGGGTAATTCCTGGCCCCACGATTTTCTCTTCTTCACCGGTTTCTTCTCTTCAGGCTTTGGCATCTCTGTCTTGACCTTGTCGGTAGCTGATGTGTCGAAAATGAGAGTGGTCTCCGCCGGGGAGATGGTCAACTGGGGTAGCTCCGGTGCAGGTGTTGGAGACATAGAGCCCAGGGAGGAGAATGGAGTGGAGGTCATGATCTCAGAAATCTTTTGGGAAACTCTTCGGGCTAACTCTACTATCCGTCTCGATGTTTATCACGGCAACAATAGAGTCGTATACTCAACAACTAGGGGAGGAGAAATAGAGTAGCCAGGTTGATGGTTGAAGAGTCGAGCGAGCTGTGGTGAAGAAAGAGTGGATGTTAGGGCCACGGTGGCATGATCATAGTTGAACAGGATAGCCAATCATGACACAAAAAAGTGTCTATGGACAATAACTCAGATCAAGAGGACAGGTTGTTCTCTTCTGAAGGGAGAGCTGGCTTTGTTCGTCTGGGGACGAGATCTAAGGTTGACGATGGGGGAGACTCTGGCATTTTAAAAGGACACCGTGGTCCGAACCTTGGAAAGGGACCGTTAATTATGTCAGCCACTCCAGCCGCACCAAGATCAAACTTTTCCCGTGACCCAGCCCGCTCCAGCCAATCAGAACCTGCAGAGCCTGGGCCAGCCATGCTCGCAAGCCCAACGGTCCCTCCTCAAAGTGGGTCGACCCAGGATTTCAAGGGGCTGAATCATGTTTCGCCTGCCACGGGGCACAAGTGATCCATCTGCGGGACCACAAGCTCCGCCTTGACCGGGGCTGTAGTTTCCAATTTTATATGTATCAAGGTCGGTACATGTACCACTCATCAGGTTACGCCACTCACCACAACAAAGGTACTGGTACATTTTGTCACATGCAAAGCGTCAAAGGTTCCGCTAGCTGCAGCCCCAATCCCCTTCCCAATCCCACGGCTTTGTAGTGCGTAGTTGTTGTTGCTTTCTCCTGGGTTTGGTTTCCTATATTACTACGGAGCACATACGGAGGACCGAGTCTCCATAGAAAATTTATTGGTTCTCCAACCAACCTGTTCATGCTCTTAATTCTAATTATATCAAGAAAAAGAAAAGAGAAAAAAAGAAAGGAAATGAAACAATCTCACGGCTCGCCTGAAGATCCTTCGCTGATCCCTTAGCAAGATCCATGAATATCCATCCACCATGCAACTAGGTTATATAGAATACAACACAATTAGGTACGGAGCACGGAGACACTCTGTAAATGAATACAACCTGTCTCTCTCTCTTCACTACTGTTCTTATTTTTACTTCTAGTTCTCATATAAGAATCTTAATCTTTTATCTCAATCAATGGCACAATTAAAACCAAAGGAGTGGTGAATCAAGAACGGATTCTTCATTAAATCTTCCACTTCCCGCGGTATCTCGTGCAGGCCTGGGGAGTTTCCACTTCACCCCCTTTTTCTCCAAACCCTAGTCCTTGATAATTTCCCCTTCTACCTTTTCTGTTAGTGGGACGCCCTATTCAGAAAGCGGCAATGTCCCTGGAGCAAACCCACATGAACAACCTCAAATCTTACTTTCATATAGCTAACACAATCTTCGCTGCTGACATGCTCATGAACATCTCTGTTCAGGGGTCAGCAGAATAATTGAAATGAAGCGTTTGGGTTTATTAAGCAACTTGCATGCAAAAGCACAATTCATATATATTTTCTCATTTTGGTATTTTTTTTTTTTTTTTTTGGTATTCATTTATTCTTTGTCTCCATGCTTCCCATTTAATGGTTTAAAAAAAGTTTTGTGGGAATCAAAAGAGTTCAGATAATCAATGGTTATGCTAACTAGTTAGTTAGTTACCGGTAGTTAGTTAACTCTCATATGTGACAGGACTCAATCAACTAGAGTTGCAACAGGTTCAGGTTTCGCTATTAACTGCTGCTAATGGTGGAGCCAAAATGTGGGGTTGCCCAGCTCACATCATCGTCAAACGCCAAGTTAAAAAAATATCTTGAGCGACATTGCTGTGGGTCTGTTACTAGTTAGTTCCTTGGCTCTCGGCTCTCGTAAGCTTATATAAAATGTTTCTATCTAACTAGTTATTTGTTGTTCTTGATGAATTTATTGGCTTCTCGTCTGCTTTTTGTCCTACAGTCTGGCAGCTGTGAAATCAGCTTATTTATTTTTATGCAACCATGAGAGAACTACCAGACTTGGGTTCAAGAACAAAGTTAGATATCTTTTCTTCCGAGAGGAAATGTCATCTTCATTCAGTTTCCTCAGCCTGGGTCCAACGGCAACCGTTAAATTTTTACGGGATCATGAAGTTCCAGTCGCTGAACAAATTTACCAGAAGATTTCAAAGTATAGAGGGTCCCTGGTGACTTTTACATTTAAGCTTATCAGTGACCCCTTAATTTACATAGACAAAACATCATTAACCCTCTGAAGATTTTCGGTTTTGTTTTCATGGTTTGAGTTCATCATCTTCCTAACCTTTTCTCCTCAAACCCCTTCTTGAGGAACAATGGAATGCTATTGTGTTCATATCCTACAGATTTGTCTCTGATGTATGCAGACACTCTCATCTATTCAATACACTAACAGTAAAAGCTACTTCTGTATATATATCCCTTGAATATATATATATATATACTTTTGTTCATGTCAGATCAATTACTAACCCTGCCAATTCAAATTCTTTTCATCTTTCACCATCCCATATTCCATTCTCCGGGACTCCACGTACGGAAATAAAACTGCCAGCACTAAGGAAGTGTGTGCTGCTTGACTATTTATCATCGGAATCATGATTGTTTCTTGAAATCTGTGTGTATCCCACGCCTCTTCCTTGTCCTATCAACAAAGGTAAGTTCCGCTGCGCTGCCGCTATGGACTCGAACGAGGCAATAATAAAGAGTTACATGGGAAGGCAGAAGGAAACTTTTTAGCTCTGGAGTTTAAACAGCAGTGACATGTCAACCTTGTAGACAAAATACCATACGGGGCTCTCAATGCTTTCTATATTTAGATATATAAATATGTATGCCGGGCCCTCAAGATAAATGGAAATGTAGTCACAAACAATCGAAAAGCACAAGAGGAGTTTAAAGATGGTGTGTGCAGACGTCTAGGTATAGATAGAGGCTTGGCCTGAGGTTGACCCACTTTGGGGGTTAGTTAGGCCGCATCAGGATTAACTATATTACGGAATCTTGGATCGGCCTGTTACTAGAAGTCATCCGCTGTTGCACACATTTCTGCCTTGAATATACGGTTCATTTAGGGTGAAAGCAGAGATTTCTAGCCTATTTACGTAGGAGATTTTCCAGCATTTTATTCTGTACCTTGAGGATTTGAAGCAAGCTGTTCAATTGACATTAGATTACTTCCTGCTGTTGTAAGTTTTGACTGAGCTCACGGCTGATCGACCAGAGGCTTTACTGAGTTTTCATAATTTTTCAATTCAGCAGTTGACGTATGTCTGCTAGTTAATCGGCACCATAGAACAACACAGATAACATTTGGAAATATTTCTAAGTGTTCTATCTACAATTCGACATTTAGTTGCCTTGAAAATATGTCACTGTGTCTTGAATAAACCCTTCGAGGATCAGCAGGATCCTACAAGGTCCTTAATATCTTGAAAGCTCCCAACATCTGCAAAGGCACAGGTGCAGTCAGGCCTACAGCTCCGTCGCAATTGAATCCCGGTATTTTCTATGTGCAATGTCAGTCCCTGGCAGATGTGGCCGATGGGGTGCCCCCAGACGGTGCAGGATGGTACAGACGCAATCGCAACTGCAATAACTAACTAGTCCAGAATGAAGAGAAGACAGTCTCTGGCAAGAAACCGCACACAGCAGGTCGTGGCTTTATTTCTGTAAGTCGGATAAGGCATCTTTTCCCCAACTAATCATTTTTACTTTATTTTATATTATTTTGTCGTTGCAACCAGGAAGATGCCGGGGATCAGCGCCGGAGCTCACCGCAGTGACCAACAGTTGAATTTGACGACTTAAAAAGAGTTAACTAGTTAGTTAAACAGGTTGGTGTTAACTTAGGTGAACCTACCAGGCACAAGCTCCACGCACGCCTCCTCGAAAGCCAACCCATGTCCAGCGGGATGAGAGGTTTCTCCGAAGTATTAACTAGTTTTGAGACTACAAACGCTGGCAAATACCAAACCTTGTTCTAAATGTCATTGACTCATTGACTCATTGACCTTGCTTAGCTTGGGTCTCACTGGCAACTTTAACTGATTGCTAAGGTACGGAGAACTCCGTAGTCATTCTCGCCTTCAAACGCCCTCGTCTGAGGCTGCGGGGGGAAGGGTGTTTAGCCTAAGATGGGCCCTTTTATTTTATTTTATTTTATTTATTTATTTATTTGGTTTTGTTTTTGAGCGGACCCTGGCCCTTTCATTACTATATCCCCGTGCTCCCTTGAATTGCAGCTTATCTTTGTTGAACTTCCACTTCCTTTCAGAGAAGCTGAAGAAGATTTCGTCTGGGTGACAGATACTTCTGATGTTTAGTACTAGGATTTCACCCGCGGTGTGTCGGTTATCAAACCATAGCCAAAGCCAAATTACAACGATCCACCAACCAAAGGGAATGAGCTTGTGACTCACTCTCTTGTGTTGGGATCCTTGCGACGATAGCTGTGCTGGCAAAGGATATGGGGGCGCCTGAAGATACAGAGCAATCCAGGTTTTGATTCCTCGTCTTGTCCTTGGTAGGAACAACCTCCCTCATGCCGACCAGTACACATGATTTGTTGATGAAGATGCAATTACCGGAACTTTTCATCTTAAGTTTCGTTGTAAAGGCTATCCACTCTCAAGTTTATCATGACTCAGAAGTGTTCTTTACTATCTTCTAGACTATAAACATCGTTATGGTGAAAAGAAAAATATGAAATCAGTATTGAGAATAAATAAATATGAATACGAATACACAGAGCCGATGAAATTCTAGCAACTACATATCTCATTTTTCCAGCAGCCTATGAAACTATTGTAGTTCTGTAGCTCTCATCTATCTAGTCATACGGAGTTCGTACGGAGTAGTTAACTGCTGTATTCCCGAGGCTTGAAAACCACCAACGTCATCATGCCGGGTTTGGATTATTTCTACATCAAAACACATGAGCAGCACCGAAAATCCGAACACCTACCGTCTTGACTCTCCGAACGGTTAGAAAGCAATAGCCATGTTTTCTGTTCGAGCTGCCCTCCGCCTACCGGGCCAATTAAAGCCTGCGAGCTGCCTGAACCCCATCCCCGCTATTCCTGCCTGCCATACTTCTTCCAAACTTCCGCTAGACTGTCGACGGTACATCACCGCATACGGCTACACCCAGGCCAAGGCATTGGTATACGGCAACTACGGCGAACCCAAAGATGTCCTGAGGTTATTATCCTTCTCTAACTTTCCTCCGGTACAGCCATTGTGCAAATCAATGTCCTGCTAACGATCGATCGAAATTAGTCTACACTCATACTCCATCTCCGCACCACACAACACCCAAGTCAACGTCCGCCTCCTCACCTCTCCCGTTAACCCTGCTGACGTCAACCAAATTCAAGGCGTCTACCCATCCAAGCCCACTTTCAGCACAACCCTCGGTACCAGCACTCCCGTAGCGATTGGGGGAAATGAGGCCGCGTTCGAAGTCGTCTCGACAGGCTCCGGCGTCAAATCCCTTTCCAAGGGTGACTGGGTAATCATGAAGTGGACGGGGATGGGTACCTGGCGCAC